CGCTACCTGAGGTGAGCGCCGCGGCCCACGGGACTCGGGCGAGCGGTGCCGGCCGCTGCTGGCAGCAGCTGTGCTGAAGGTCTCCAGCCCTCGCCGTGCTTTTTGCGTGCGGAGGTACACGGGAGCGGGCGGGGGCGCGGAGCAGGCCTGCTGGGTAGCTCCGAGCACCGATGTCGGGGCCTCGCGGCAGCCCTTGCCTTTGGTATTTGCTTCATGTGTTGGACACAACGAACGCCTTAGAGCTCACCTATTTTTTATTCATAGGGAGCCTGTTAGAATTTTTTGTTTCTTTTAAAGAGAATACATGCCTGTTAGAACAGCAAATACATTCCCTGCCATATGTGCTGAGGAAAGCTGGTAAGTGCTGTCAGCAGTAAAAGTTACTGTATGAACTTGTGACTTGATAGGATCAGCTGTTTCTGTGCATTTGACACCAGTACTTTTTTGTATTTTTATCAACAATTGCATGCCTTGTGCAGCCTTTCATAGTGAAGACTGTACTTTTCTGTACTACTATGCCATGTTAAGAGGTGTACTCTAAGATCTTATTCTATGAAGGTAAAATGTCTGTATAGAAATAAACATGTTATTGACTCCCACTCAGATTCCTCAATTCTTTGTGTTTGGGAGCTTCTATGAATTCAATTCAGCCAGCTGTCTAATGAATGGAATTAGATCTTCCAGAGAAAATAAATAATTATGGCTTTTAAATTGTTTGCCTGATGTTTATCTTGCTAATCATTTGTCCAAGCTTATTGTAGGAACTTCAGATGCCACATGATAGTATAAATGCATACAGATCGCGTAGTTCAGGAAGTAGTATTTGAAACCTTCAATTTCACAGTTAATTCTTTTCATTGGAAATAAACTGACAAAATAGGAAAAAAAACCAGGAATTAAAAAAAAAAAGTGTTTAGGTCAAAGCAGTGCAAACATATCAAAACTGATACTAGACCAGCACAATCTACAGTCTTTACATGAACCAAGTAGAAAGAAGGCTAACATATCCTTCAACACAATTTTTGAGACATCTCTCTGTATCTTCTTTAAAAAACCACTATAGTTACCTGCTTTGTGTTTAAAGTAGTTCCGGACAAAAGTATGAATAAATTCAGTCAGTAACTAACTTATCACTCTGCTTATATGCTTTGGTTTCTTTATCAGTATAATCCATGAGTAAGCTGTAAGACAGTGTTTATTTGCTATAATAGGTTTAAAACTTAACCTAACCCTTACCCTATTGGACTGAGAATTTGAAAGTGTTAACTGAGAACAAGAAAGATGCTAACATTCATAATGAATGCTAACATTCACTAGCTCCATACAATTCACTCTGAAGTCTGATGTGGGACAAATGATAGTTCAAAGTGCATGCAAATGCTTAGTCCTAACCTAATGAATATTTTAAAATGTGTTTGGTCACCCCAGTCTGTGTGTTAACATGCCATTTGGATATACTTATGTACCAGTAATAAAGATGTGATGCTTACCTTGTTTTCTGAATGGAACTAATACAGTATTTTGGTGTATCACAGGTAAATTTTTCCATAACCTTATGGAGAAAAAGGACTTTGAAGCATGGCTTGATAACATTTCTATTACATTTCTTTCTCTGACGGACTTGCAGAAAAATGAAACTCTGGATCACCTGATTAGCTTGAGTGGAGCAGTCCAGCTCAGGCACCTCTCCAATAATCTAGAGATTCTCCTCAAGAGGGACTTCCTCAAACTTCTTCCATTGGAACTTAGTTTTTATCTGTTAAAATGGCTTGATCCTCAGACCTTACTCACGTGTTGCCTCGTCTCTAAGCAGTGGAATAAGGTTATAAGTGCCTGTACAGAGGTGTGGCAGACTGCATGTAAGAATTTGGGTTGGCAAATAGATGACTCTGTTCAGGATCCTCTGCATTGGAAGAAGGTTTACCTAAAGGCTATTTTAAGGATGAAGCAACTGAAGGACCATGAAGCCTTTGAGACATCCTCTTTAATTGGACACAGTGCCAGAGTATATGCACTTTACTATAAAGATGGACTTCTGTGTACAGGTAGGAAGGACAGAAAACTTGGGAGTCTTACAGTTCTTTGTTTTCTCCCCTCCCCTGCAATATGATTAATGACAATACGCTTTTCCTTTACCAGACAGATTGTTTTCATAGTGCTAATGCAGTTTAACATGATTCAAAATTACTTTTTCAGTTTCCAAAACACCTGGCACACTAATAAACTCATTAGTCACTTTAATAGGAAAGCAAGGAGACCAGTTGCTTTGTTGGTTAAAAAACCAGTAACAGTAGGTATCATGTTTTCAGGCTAGTAAGCCCGTTTGAGAAGTACAGATATGTTAGTTTTCCTCTTAGAGAATAATTTCCAGTTAAAGGGACCTTGTCTGGGCTATGTCACCACTGCAGTCTCCCAAGGTGTGGAAGGAAAAGTCTGTCTTCTTCCTTGAAACAAGACAATTCCTCTGATACAGTCTGTAAGCACTTTCAGTTCTTAACATAAATGCTTGTATGAAGAACTCTAAACTAGATTTAACCTTGCTACTAGTCTGACTTGCACATTGTAATGATAATTTCAGCTTCCTCCCTGAAGACTGCAGACTTCAAATTCCAGTTTGAACTTAAAAATACAACCAGAACAAATATGAAACCTTAAGTATGAAAGAGTAACAAAGTTAAAATTAATTGCTGTCAGAGCATATTCCAAGCATTTCTCAGTCACTCGAGATGACAATGCTATAGAATAATTTGGGAGTACCGGCTAAGTACTCCTGCATTTATTGATATGTTAAGGTGGTCACTAGAAACCAACAACTAGACTCTAGCCAGTCTTTCACTTCCCTGCTCAGCAGGGAATGTAAACACACAGGAAGCAGCATTGTCAGAACTTTCTGAAAATTGGCACACTTTTGTGATGGAACCACCAAAAGAAACAAGAGGTGTAAGGGTCCAGGGTTTTATTCTGTTCTCCAAAGCCAGCAGTCTGGACTTATGTTATGAGCTTGTCTTTTTTAAAAAAAAAAACAAAACCAAACCACAACTTTGGGGAGAAAAAGGAAACTGGCAGATGATGGGGCCTGGTATTCATCTGCTGATTTTTGAGATTTCATGGACTCCTTTCCTACCTGAAAAGCTTGTAGTATAGTCAGTGGCTCTGCAAACCTGAGAGTGATCTATCATGTAAAACTTCCACATGTCTGTTTCAGTAGACACTCAGCACTGGTGAGGCCACACTTGGAGTACTGTGTCCAGTGCTGGGGTCACCAGTACAAGAGAGACATGGACACACTGGAGTGTCCAACAAAGGGCCATGAAGATGATGAAGGGACTGGAGCATCTCTCGTATGAAGAAAGGCTGAGAGAGATGGGACTTTTTATCCTAAAGAAGAGAGGGCTCGGGGAGGATCTTATCAATGTATATAAATACCTGAAGTGAGAGTGCAAAGAGGATGGAGACAGGCTTTTTCAGTGGTGCCCAGTGATAGGACAAGAGGCAGTGGATGCAAACTGAAACACAGCAGGTTCCCTCTAAGCCACTTTTTTACTTTGAGAGTGATTGAGCACAGGTTTCCCAGGGAGATTGCGGAGTGTCCATCCTTGGCCATATTCAAAAGCCATCTGGTCATGGTCCTGTGCAAGCGGCTGTAGGTGGCCCTGCTTCAGTTGGGGGTTTGGAAGAGTTGACCTCTAGAGGTCGCTTCCAACCATAACCATTCTGTGATTCCATGACACTAGCATATTTAAGAAAAGCATGGAAGATGAGTATAGGACTGGAAATATTATTTACTCTCTGCTTCCAATTACCCTGTTCTTTTATATTGTAGGATCAGATGACTTGTCTGCAAAACTCTGGGATGTAAGCACAGGTCAGTGCATATATGGTATCCAGACACACACTTGTGCTGCAGTGAAGTTTGATGAACAAAAGCTTGTAACAGGATCTTTTGATAACACAGTAGCCTGTTGGGAATGGAGCTCTGGGGCAAAGACACAACATTTTAGAGGACATACTGGTGCAGGTATGTTGAGCTTTTCAATTTGTAATTTCACCAGTCAAGTAACATATATCATCATCAAACAAATTATAATTTAAGTTAGCTTTTTGCATGATAGCTTTTTCTTTTTTTAGGCTCTGTCACAAGTCACCTTTTGGGGTGGGGAAGCAGCCAGAACAGATCTAGATCTGTCTGCCCTTGAATAATGCCAAAGCTTAGCCATGTAGTGTTTTGCAGTTGCATGGAAATAATACTAAATGCCATGGTTGTTCACTACTTTCGAGTCTACCAAAAAGATGCAAACCCTAGGTGACAGGGAGCACATGGCAATAGCAGTTCTTTATGTCCCCAGACTGGAGATAGGCTTACAGCAAGGAGCACAATAGGACCTGGGAATCTGTATTTGCATTTCCTTCATAATTAACTTCTCTGTCCTCTACTGCAAAGTATCCTCAACTCAGCTGTAGGTCTGTTCCCCTGTGAGTTATGACATATATCAAATGTACTAGTCCTGCTGGAATTAATTTACCAGAACTCTTAAAATAGGAACTAGCTTAAGTTACGCTTTGCCATAATTAAGCCATAAAGGAACCACTGATGCACATGCTCTTAATTTGGACAAAAATCAGTAATGTAAGCTTAGGAATCCAGAGCAACAATTCACATATGCTGTTCAAGAACAGCAGTTAAAGCTGTAAAAACATATGAATTTAGAGGCTATATGACCTAGTTAGTGTCTCACTTACTTACAGAAAAATGCATGCATAGAGATTGATATTCCTTATTTAGTACCCTTTTTTGCTTGTAGTTTTTAGTGTGGATTACAATGATGAACTTGATATTCTGGTCAGTGGCTCTGCAGACTTCACTGTGAAAGTATGGGCCTTATCAACAGGAACGTGCCTGAATACCCTTACTGGACACACGGAATGGGTCACTAAGGTGGGAATGTTGATTTTTAATTAATCTTGCAAAACACTTACTTTTCAATAAGTTTGTAATGTGTTCTAAATTTCTATTTCCTAATTCTAACCCCACACCTAGGTGTAGAATCTGAAGAACATCAGGAAATACTGCAAAATAACATTTCAGCAGAAAAAGAAGCTATAATTAGACCTTTCAGACCATTTCCAAAGCAGCTGGAGTAATATTAGGAATCAGTGTTTGGTTCAAAGACTGAACAAAAACAATGGTTCTGAAAGAAAGCTACTTTAAAAATTCTGTAGAAAAACTAATGATCTTGATGATAACCAAAATCTGAGCATGAAATGTGTTCTGAAGTCAAGAACTAGTATTTTTCTTCTGAGTATTTCAGAACTTGGAAGGTGGGGAGGTGATTCTAGAGGTGAAGTACATATCTTCACTTATTAAGACAGTAAGTTGTCACTAGTAGGAACCAGAAAAGTGTAAACTGCAGTTTCCCTTCGGTTGCAAAAAGTATTTGTATTGCCTTTATACAAGAGTACAGCATGTAGGTTGTCAATGAAGTGAAAAATGCAAATAAAAATTTGCTTATTTAACAACATCAACATAACTCATTACATCCTTCAATTACAGGTAGTTTTGCAGAAGTGCAAAGTCAAGTCTCTTATGCATAGTCCTGGGGATTATATTCTTCTAAGTGCAGATAAGTATGAAATCAAGGTATGTACCATATATTGTATGTATATCATTTCGATACCCAGGGAAATAAAATGCTTGAGTGCTTTGCTGAAGTTTACAAATAATAAAAGACTTTGTTTTCTCCTGCTTGTAAAGTTGCGTACAAGACATGCAACTCTTTGGAAGTTAACTTTTCAATGCTTTCCTTCATGTTTAGATTTAAATGATGGCTCTACGTGAATGGTAATGTGAAAAAAAGTACTTTCAGTGCATACCTAATATGCTAACTTTACTGCAAGTACTGTGACAGTTTGGGACTTTTGGGTTGGAGAGTGCTGTAAATAGTTTGTGGCTATGGAACTGCTTCATACCCAAAACATTGTTACGTTTTTGTCCAGTTGGTTGGTTGATTTTTTTTGCCATTCTTTAAAGCATCCATTTTCACAGGGATTTTTTTGGGCCAGACACAACACATACCACAACAATACTGTAAGACAGGTCACTTACTTACACAATTGATGGTCCTACCTAAAGAGATAAATATTTCTGAAAAACATGCACACATTTACCAGATTCTTGAAGAGAGACTGTGAGTCTTGCTCTATTGGTGTAACGGTTTACAATGTGAATGTTTTATGGTCTTAAACTGTGTTTTAATTGTAGATTTGGCCTATTGGAAGGGAAATAAACTGCAAGTGCTTAAAAACACTGTCTGTTTCTGAAGATCGCAGCATCTCCCTACAGCCCAGACTGCACTTTGATGGCAAATACATAGTGTGCAGTTCAGCACTAGGATTATACCAGTGGGACTTTGCCAGCTATGATATTCTCAGGTAAATCTTTTAGTTTAAGGCTTAGTCTTCTTTAAATAAATAAGATGTAGAACATACTACTTTTAGTAACTTACTTTAGATGTAGGCCAAAAGAATCTTGATAAAAATTCTGTAAACACCTTACTTTACACATATTGCCAGGTTTAATTCTAATTTGTCATCTGTTAATACAGATAATTTGATTACTGTTTTGGTTTCTGGACACAGGCTAGTCCTCTCTCATATTTTCATGCCATAAGCTGAAGAGTGTCAATATAGACTTAATCAGACTGCAGTGCTGTAGTTGTGAATGTGAAACTGTAGTGACTAGATGTTAATGTTGCTATGGAGACTGCTCTACAGAGAACCAGCCATCGATTTCTGTGGGTCTTTTGATGAGACAAGAAATGAAAAAGACTTCTTCCTTATAGCATTGCTGGTCTGTCATTCTCGATAATGCTGTGGAATGATGAAATCTGTCAGTCTGCAGTAAGGGATCAAAGAGGTTTGCATTCTGTTTCCATAAAAAGAACAAGGCTGTATCTGTTAGAAATGGTGGCATCAAAGATAGTAACTTATTAAAGAAAAAAAATGCATTTTAGAAGTTGTAGGAGACTCTTAATTGAAATGGCCTTAATATTTGTAGAGTATCTATCATAGGAAGATCTACTCCGAAAGAAGTACTTCATATCAATAAGAATAACTGAGTAATTTCACCTTTTGGTTTACCCTCCCATCTTCCAAAAGAGAAAGATGTTCTCTTACTGCTGAGAACAGATTTTTCATCTCCATACATTTTTGTGCCTCAGTTCTGTGCTTTATGTACTGCTATGATCAAACGCTCAGTCAGTTATGGAAAACTTACTCTCTTCAATTTCTGTTCCACATTTTATTTATTAAGGCAACAATATCATAAGGGTGTAGGGGAACAAATACTTTTATTTCTCCCCAGTATGAAAACGCTTAACTTATGCTAGGCAACAGTAAAACAGCATTCTGTTCAGGACCAATCTTGAATGGTTTATCTTACCTTCTTATCACAAGAAGGCATTTCTGTGTTTTATTTCCAGCTTTTAAAAGAGTGGTCAAAAGAATAATAAGAGGTTTTACCTCTTAATTTAAAGATATTGAGGCATGAAATCCCTATGGAAATTTACTGTAAAACACAAGTACATTTTGTGTGTATCTGGAAACAAGACTTTTTTTTCCTTGTGCTGTGCAAAATTCCTTTAAAACCATAACCTTTACTTACATTCAGAAGGATCTGTCCTGAATGCACAAAGCTAGAACTGAAGCCACAGGCCTGGCTGCAGCTAAGTGTTCAGTTGCTTAATTTGCAAAAATTGCATCCAGTTCTTTCTAAATCCTTTCAGAATGATGCGTTTAGACACTTACTTTCTATAGATACGTAAGGATTTTAGTAATGTGGGTTCATGACTACATTGTGACAGTTTCTAACCACGTTGTCTTGTCTTCTAGGGTTATCAAACCTCCTGACTTCTCAAATGTGTCCTTGCTGGGCTTTGGAGAGATATTTGCTCTACTGTTTGATAACAGATACCTGTATATAATGGACTTGAGGACAGAAAAACTGATAAGTCGATGGCCTCTACCAGAGTATAGAAAGTCAAAGAGAGGTTCAAGCTTTTTGGCTGGTGAAATGTCTTGGTTAAATGGACTAAATGGCCAAAATGATATGGGGTTGGTTTTTGCCACCAGTATGCCAGACCATAGTATCCATTTAGTGTTATGGAAAGAACATGGCTGAAAAGCTTACATATGCAGAATCTTCAGGAATATATGGACTATCAGCAGTGTGTCCATAAAATGAGACTTTGCATGAACCAAAGTTGCACACCTAATGGTATCATCATGCAATGCACAATCATTTACTTTTTTTTGGGCATTTGGGAATGGGTTGTTTTGGACATAATGCAATACAGCATGCTAACAGTATTCACCACAAAATTTTGTCTGTATTCATGTTTAAGCATACCTATTTGGGCTCTGAAGCATAGCTTGTAAAGTTTAAACCATTCAAATCCACCATCAAGTCTGAAATGAAGTAGTGCTTGACCTGACTTCTGACCTATTTTTTCTTGTTGAAACAGAAGGTGAAGCTACTATTTTGGAATCACAAGCTTTTGTACATGTAACAGCAAATACTGGTTACAGTGCATGGCTGCTTAACTTAAATAAGAAGATAGCAAACCCTTTCTCTTTTCGGTATCATTCTCTTCAAAATGTTTTTCCTTATGATAGCTTTAAACACATAGCCTTTGACATAGACGAATCAAATGAGTCCTTTAACTAGGTTCATATGCTAACAATAATCATTACTTGGTTTCAGCTCAGAAACATGGCAATATGAACTCTCCTCAGTGAGAATGAGCCAACTTTTCATCTATCTGATAGAGCTTGCCATCACAATTAACCTTAGTGAACCTCTGACAATATGCATCATATTGCTGATGGTAACTCAGAATGGCTTGATCAGTATTTTATAGTCCATATTTCCTATCGTGTGTGTGAGAACATAACCTAGTTCACAGGTAGGTAGAAATATAATGAATGGGAAGATGATGTTCAGTCTTTACAGCAAGAGTCACTCTCTTTCTTACATTAAATGATGTCTAGCAGCCATTCAATTTTTCCAAAAGTTGCAGTCAATATAATCATGCACTTAAAGTAGTTGCTACATGTAGATTTGAAAAGCAGGGGTGAATAACAGTGAGAATGCCACATCTCGGGGGGGGGGGGGGGGGGGGAGGAAAAACCAAACAAAAGTCTGAAGAAAAGCATAGGACTAGAAAAAGGCCTTTTGCTTTGCTCATCGTAGGAGACCTGATGTACACAAGTTAACTATTGAGTAGCAAATACCTATCCACATACTTTTGTGGTATTTGACATGTACTTAAAAGCTGTATCTATGGCATCACATGCTTTAGAAATGATTTAGGTTAGTTCCCCTCCTCCCTTACAATAAAATCTCCCCTTAATGTCTTTTTTTTTTTTAACACAACTTGAAAACATGAGCTTTTATGAAGATAGGCTCATGTCCTTGAAAAGATAAAACTGCCTATTGTTACTCTTGTTAGTATGATTTTTTTTTCTTTTTTCTTCCCACTATCCAAGGAGACCTAATTTCATACTTAATACTGAACAAAGGCCAAGGTTCCCAAATAAGTACATCAATGGAAGAGGAGTTTTCATCTGCAAGAATCGGTATTTGACTGATGTGGCAGAAATTGCATGAAGTCACAGTGGAGCAGTGTCTCTTGAATACAAGGCTAGAGCCTTAAGTACTCATTTTCCACCTTTATTCACACAAACTTTGAAAATGCATTCGTAGTCAAGGATTTTATCAGTTGGAAGCCAAATTCACAGCTGTCTTAGAAGGAAAAAGGAAAATTGCAGAGGTGGCTTGATTACAGCTGAAGTATTTTGAAGGGGAAATTCAAACTAACTACTCAGCAATGGTAATTCATGACTAAGGACTGATCTGGCATGGAGGGCAAGAAGGCCTAACTGCTGAACAGATTAAGCTGTCTGGGAGCAGGAACACCAGAAACAGAATGACTCCGTGTAAGGGAGAAAACTCTCCCTATCTCATAGGATAAGAAATACCACAATAAGAGTCACATAGCGATCAAGTGAGTGTGTAAGAGTGCTTAGGAGCCACCTTCGGCCAGCAGCGCTGACAGAATTTTGTCAGTTAAATTTGGCTGGCAACTGTGTTTTCCCAATAG